GAAGAAGTCGATGAAGATACGTACGTCGAGCCAATTAGTGCTCTGATACCATGTTGGCCGATTGGTTTATTTTGGAATAAATATTTTCCCTTTTATTGTATTAACTAGTATAGGGATATTTATACAAGTAAATATACACAATAGAGCCCTTGGCCCAATTAATAAAATAATAAAACTATACAAATATGTACTAAACCCAAACGGGTTTAACAGTACATACATACATACATAACATACATACATACATACATACATACATACATACATACATACATACATACATACATACATACACACACACACACACATACACACACACACATACATACACATACTCATACACACGGAGCAATAAATTCATCAAAAAGGTTTTTTTGTTGCTCCTAAAATTAGCTTAGTCCTCATATTTGCTCTTAGAGGTTTACCTTAGTGATCTAATTGCTCCTTCTTCCGTATATATATTTTTACCTTCTGGGCGTAGACGGCCAGCTAGGTGTCTAGAAAGGTTCGATGACAAGCTCCATTCTTCTCTTCGATATGTACTCTGTACTTCCTGTGTAGTTTGACTGTGAGGATGAGCCGTCTAGGGCAATGACTAAAAAGGCAGCAAAGATATATCAAAAAAGGAGATCGGCGACGGCGACTATCTACCTGAGAAAAAGGAGATCGATGACAAGCTCCATTCTTCTCTTTGATATGTTCTGACCGTCATACGAAGAAAGTATGGATTATGGAATATGGATGACTCGAGACTAGCCTTTTGCTCACTGCATCACTCTCCAATGCTAAAACAAAACATTTTATCGGATAAAAAACTTTGAGAAATGTAACCCGCAACAATCGTGTAAAGGTTACAACTCATGTTGAGCTATAATTCTAGTGCACGCTGGTATAAGGTTTACTATCATTGGGTTGATTGTGTCGCCATAATTTACAACCTCTCATATATCTTGTTGGGCCGGGCATGGGCTGGGGTGCCCTTGAGATTTGGGGATTCAACCTCTGTGGAGAAACTAAAACAAAACATTTTAAAATACTTTCCAGTTTGACTTGATACGCTTGGGATGTTTTTACTTGAACTGAAATTTGTTAGTCTGATCTGTTTAAGTTTGGTATGATGTGGTTTGGTCTGGTAAATGTTTGGTTATGTGTGTTTTATAACTATGAAAGTCATGTCTGGTCTGGTTTGATCAGTTTAAGTCTGTTCTGGTCTGTTTAAGTCTGTTCTGGTTTGTTTATGTCAGGTCTGGTCTAGAACTGAAACAATACAGGTAAAAATATCTTTATTAAGAAAGTGAGAATAAAATAGAAATATATAGTTGTGATTAAGTAAGAAAAATGTAAATGAATGTTAGTCACACAAAACTTTTCAAAGAGAGAACTGGAAAAAGAAATTGAGACATCCCAAAATAGGAGATTGTCTTTGGCTATACAAGAATTTTATACATTCATGTCGTTCCACAATTTCTATCTTTTCACACTTCACTAGGTTTCAATTGTCTTTAGTTTAAGTAAAGCTTTTGTGTCGGGTCGATCTTAATAAAAATCCAGCATTTATTATGTAAAAAGCTACTACTTTATTCACTATAATTAAGAAGACATATTTTTTTTGTGAGTTGGTATTGGTCCTCCTCTTTAGCCCATTTAACCGGTTCCCTGTTTAATGAGTTGGTTTCTCATTTAGGCCCAAGTGGACTGTCTGGGTGTCTGGCCCATCCGCCCCTCCTTTGTGCTCATTTAACCCAGCCCGTTGAACCCCTTTATCTGGCTTGTCCTAGACCCTTCTGGAACTACCTATTTATACTCTCTTTCTCCTCTCTTCTGAGAGAGTTGCTGAGTGTGTTGCCCTAATCCTAGAGTGAGAGAGAGTACGGTGTATTGCCTTGGTCTGAGCTCCGGCTTACCTCCGGTGATACCTCGGTGTCCTGTTTGGGGCTTCACTCTGGGTTAGTTCTTTGGGGTTTTCTTCACCGGTGCGTTCCTGGGTGGTCCTGTCACTGGTTGGGGGTTTGGGCTCCGATAAACTGAGTGTTTGTGACTAGATGCCCTTGCTTCTCCCCTTGTGGTCTCCTCTGGTGGTGAATGGTGAGCAAGCCCTTGGGCTAAGGTGACTGAGGTCTGAGCCGGTCCAGAAACCCAACATTTTTAAAATAACATTTATTTTAGTTACAAAAAATTTAAACAAGCACTACCTGAATGCAATGACCCATCGGCCCTAAGTGTTTGCTTGTACGGTTTGGGTGCTTGAGGAATTGCTGGCTAAATGATCCGGCCTTCACCATAAATGCAAATACGGTTCTACCTCTTTCTCGTGCTTTCATTTGCCTTGGGATAGTTATTGAAAACTTGATAGGAGATTGTTATGGCCAATAGAGATGCATTGACAAAGTGCATAATTGGAAGTCACGAATCAGAGTTTGGGATTATATATATGTTTATCTTCTAATTTTTATATTGTTTAAAAAGCATCTAAAAGCAGTCCTATGTTTTAGACAACAAAATTTTAAGAGTTTTATTTTTAACTTAAGATTTTTTTAGAAACTAAAGTAAATAGCTTGTAAGATCGAGAAAGTCTACAACCTTTTGCATTAATTAATCGGTTTAATGCATGAAAGCCCCTCGTGAAATACTAATTCGGCGCATTAGCCTCATGTGATTTAAAAAATGTGTCAAACCCCCTTGTGTTGTAATTAATCATGTGTCAAACTCCATTAGCTAAAAAATTGTGAAGGAGTGGGGTGCAAAGTCAAATGATTATATAGTGAAATAGGATACAAATATTAATGATTTTGAAAATGGGGTGCAAAGTCCAATATTAACCAAAACATGGGGTGCAAAGTCAAATTCTCCCTATCCGATATCCTTGTGTTATTATTAATTATGTGCACAAAACAAATTTTATTGTCCAATAAAAAATGATTAGTATTTTTAATCATATAACTTAGAGATCTTAACGAATTTAATAATTGCATCTTTAAAGATAATTGATTTTAAATTGCTAAATTTAATGCTTCAATGTGTTATGTGCATGGTTAACTATAACACAAAAAGGTTTGACTTATTTTTTAAAACACAAGAGTCTGTGCACATAATTTATACAACATATAAAATACAAGGATATATCACAAGGTGGGGTGGTTTGATATGGTAAAGGTTACCATGCCTTGTACCAAACTCTAGATTAAAGAAATTGAAATATGGTATTGGCAAAATAGTGTCATACTAAAGCTTCAATACAACATATTATTATATGCCAAATAAATTTATAAGAGTGACATTGAGTGAGATGCTTAAACAATGGGAAAAGGAAAAGAATATTACCTATGCCCTTTCAAAACAAAAAAGTTACTAGTTTTCCTTTTCTTCTTGTAATTTATATTCAATCTCTACGCCCAGTCTAGCCCTGCCCACCCGCTGCCAAAAACCGCCACCAAAAACCGCAACTGAAAAGTCAGGGAAGTTATGATGATTTGTTTTTCATTTTTTTGAGTTTTATTTTAAAAAATCACCGGATAAAGTCGTCAGAGATTTTTACATCAATCACAATTGTATGTTTCACAACGATAGTGATATATTACAGAGATAAGAAATGACAATCGTCACTGACAGAAAAATATGAGAGAGACATAAAAATAAGACAATGGCATCATGTTTTCCCAATACACTACCTTATTAATTACATTACTATCCATATGTTAAAGTTGTCACTTTTTTAAAATGAGCTTCAATTTAGTCATATTTAAGGGAATTCCCTTAAACTATCACTAAAAACATTTAAAACAATACTGATAATGACTTGTTGGCATCTTGTTCATTTTTAAGCAAGAATAATAATGATTTTGTTTAAACATTTTAACGCTCATGCTATCCAGAAAAAATTAAACGACTTAGACATAAACCGCATTAGGAACGTCGAGTAAAAAACAATCAAACAACATGAATATAAAATTGAATTGTATAACTAATATATAATATAATGTTATAGTATACTTGGATAATATATAAGTATACTACTATAGGATATGAGTAATACATTTATATTTAATACTTTAATATATAAAGTATATATTAAGTAGATGTAGTATGTATGTATTAAGTAGATATAAGTAGATAATAAGTAGAGATTAAGTAGATAAGAAATATAAGTAATATAATATATGCATTTAAAAGTAGATAATTAATATATATAAGTAGATATAATAATTGTATAAGTATTAAATAGTAAAATATAATGAAGAATAAGAGAATTTGAGAAGATGAAGATGGAGATGATTAGAGAGTAGGATTTAGGAAGAGTTGGAGAGAAAATATGTGGAAAAATGTTTAGAATTAAAAGTATTTATAGTTTTTTTTACCCCACCCCCACCCTCCACCCCCCCCCCCAAAAGGCCCGAATCCCCCTACAACCCACCCAACGGCTATATAGCTGTTTGGGAAGTGGGTGCCTAGCCAAACAGCTCCTTTGGACCAAAAAGAGAAAAAAAAAAAAATTAAAAATAGTCGTTGGCGACCTGGACCCGGGACCGACTCGGCCAGGCCGGGTCGCCTTTTACCAAACCCGAGCCAGCCCCCCGGTTCGGGTCAACACCCAGTCCCGGATTGCCGGGCCAGTCCCGGGCCCGCACAGTAGCGGGCTGGGCCGAGTCACGGGCCGGGTGGCCCGAACCGGCTCCACCCCTACCCACCTTAGGCTTATCCACCCAATCAAGATAGGAAAAATGACCCTTGGAAAAGAGATTTAGGTCCAACTCGACCCAAGGCATAAAAATCATCTGCGGCCGATTAGAATACAACAAAGAACACATATTCTGTTTATTTTAATATGCTTATATTTAATTGAAGAACGGGGTATGTTGACGTAGAACTGATGATTAAACATTTAAACGAAATATTGAGATTTCTTAAAAAATGAAATGTTTGTGGATATGGTCGATGCGCGACAACTCAGGAGTCAGGACCTCACAACTTTAAAATGCATAGATATTATCGACTTTGTCGACTTTTAGTACTTCAGGATATTGTAATAATTGAATATGTTATTAAAATACAAGTAATGGATAAAAACATGAGTGCCTATTTTAATATCTATAATAGTAATTTTACAACATGAACATGTTAAATTTTGCATTATAGTAATTCTAACGTTTTTTTTTGTATTTTTTTACTTTTCCTAACAGTATACACTATACACACAGTAACTTTTATCATGTTTTTGTCCATAAACTTAATAATGGTCAAGGTTTATTCAACCCCGTCCTGTCCAGCAGATCAGGACTAGGTATTCTGCAGTCCATTCTGTGATTCAAGATTTTGGGGTCTGGACTGGCCCGGTCTCGGAAAGAACACCCTACTGGTGATGAGTCCCTTCTCGCATCCTTGCTGTGTGAGGACTCGTAGTGTACATGGTTGCCTTTTACTGATGGTAGCTTTGATATTCAAGAAGATAGTAGCTTTGGAGAGTAAATACTCTCCATGCTCATCGGTGCTTTCATTCCAAAACACATACCTCCACAATTACAGCAAACATGTCAAGGAAGTGCAGGAAGCTCCACTCTGTCAAAGGAGAAGAAACTGACACGCCCATGCTCAACGTCACATATTTTTAAAGGAATGCCATGGCAGCGTCTCTCGAGATTTTCGATCTCTTGTTGGGATGGTGTGGATCCTCTGCAAAAAAAGATGCCTCACTTTCATCAGAATAATATAAACACAGGGATACGAGTTCGAAAATTGTAAATTCTCAAGATGTACAGATTGAATCAAGACTTTAAAGTTCAAGCAATCCTCAAGTCGATGTTTTCAATGTAACCAAAAGTTAGTCAACACTCAACAGTGATTACATCCCATCCCCCACCTCCCATATTATATGTGAGATTTAGACTAATGTAGCATGCGGAAACTATATAAAATCAAATAAATTGGCACAATTTCTTTAATGGAAACTATAAATCTATAATGCTTGACAATGAGTTATTCAGCTAGTTTATTCACCAAACACTATTAGTCTATTACTCAACCAACTAACCAAAAAAAGGGAATATAATAGCACAGCACAATGCAATGTGGATATCGGTCACCAGCAGGTATTATACTAAGCACAATGCTGTGTCCATGGAATGTATTACAAAGTCTCAATCTATCACTACATATTGGGGTCAACTTTTCACTTAACTCTTGAAAGCAAATGCTAGAAGATAAATATATAAAATCACATACCTGGTAAAACATAGTACAAAGCAGGGATCACCCGGGAAAGATTTTCTGAATTTCGCATTAGGAGGGTAAACATCAAATACTGGTTTCAGCTCACCAATGCCCATATTGGTGAACACTTCAGAGATGATATGACTGTCTTCTAGTTCTGTATTTGATGTGCAATCAACTTCTGTTGTGTCGTGGTTGGTATCAGGGCTCACTTTAGGTCTCTTCACAGTCCAAGGAACACCATGGCGCCTAAGAATGTATCCAAGGCACTTCAAGTGTCTGTAAGCTTCAAAAGCTTCCCAAGAACATCCATTCTTTGCATTTGTAACCATGTTATACATGTCCTTGAGAGATATGCATTCATCATTGTGGTTGAGGAGATTCAAAGCACCAATTTCAATTAGATATCTGCAGATAGTGACCAAAAGGAAGTACTCACCATTGATGGTTTCCCCAATGTAACAACATGAAGCACATGATTTCTTACAAACGAAAGGAATAATTAGGCCGGATTTACTAAAGTTGTAGTTAATATTGATTGAATTGCTTAATTATGAATGAAATACTCATAAAATAAAGAAATATTCTACGAAGAGGACTGCAAAGATCATATTTAGCAACTTCAGTAGCACACAATAAGCAACATGATTTAAAAGGATCAAATTCTGTAAAAACAAACAGGTTATGCAACAAAAATTACTTTTCAAATATGAAATGCTTAATGACTAAAATGAATCAATAGATCCGAGTTATTATTATTATAAAAAAAAGTCAATTTTATAGGCTTGGTAAAAAACTGGAGCCTTGTAAGCTACCCCGTAGTTTTTTTGGCAAACTCTAATGGGCCAAAAATACTAATTACTCAAAGGATTATTAGTTAAATATATCCTCAACTATCATCATATACACAAATCTATCCCATACTTTCACGTTTACTAAAAAAAGACTCAGACTTCAACTTTTCTCACAATTACACTTTCAATGGATGAATTAGTAAAACTTAAGAACAAAATCATATTTATATTTCACATTGTTTCACTTCTTTCTAGTTTTAAGTTTACAAAATTGTATTGCTTATATTTTATTGGTATTGATAAAATGTGTAATTTGAAAAAAAACAAAAAAGAAAAGCATAATTGTTGAAAAAGATAAAGTTTGCCTCTTTTTTATAGAACTGAAAGAATAGGATACATTTGTGAATTTGATGATAGTTTGGGATAAAATAAAATAATAATCCTTTCAAATGTAACAACATAACATCCAAATAATTATTGTTATAATAAGAAGTCATTTCTATGTCCATTGGAGTTTGACAAAAATAAGAAGAAAACATAGGCTAGCCGAAAACAGTGTCTACCCTCTTCCCTAATGGTTTCCATAAAAAGTGTAAATGTTAAAACATACAAACTCTCTTCAACGGAACTGTAGAGTTTTGCATTGCGAACTATCCCTGTGGTTGTCCAGAGACGGCCCTTTCTCTCAATAATCTCACCCATCCCTACTTTATCAATCCACTTTGCTTTAGAGATGTCTTTCCTGAAAATCAATGACCCAAAAGAATCCAACCCTTTAAGTTTAGAATTTGAACTGTGTTACAAATGAATAGAAAACAAAATACGCAGTAGCATTTATAAGAAATTACAGCAATCAAAACTGACCTAAACTGCAATTTGGGTATATCACTAGATGTATATGTACTCAAATTCTCATCGTCAATTAGATCATCCAAACAATTCTCATCTTCGCTTGTTCCATCAGAAAAGCTAGCCATGTCCATCTCCTTAGCTCAAATCAAGCTCACTAACAGTCTACATGGTACAACAACAACACGATAATGCCAATATAATGGTTAATATATTATGCTCAATACTTAATAATTAAATAATCAAGTGTTCCTAATACATTATGCTCAATGCTTAATTAAATAATCAAGCTTTTCTAATAAATTATGCTCAATGAATTAATATAATCAAGCTTTTTTAAACATTAAACAACTGCAAATGAAATTAATTAAAAATCTAATCAAATGATCATATTAATGTTTATAATGGAGTTAAGGAATGAAGAAGGAAGTTGGAGGGGTGAACTCCGTGAAGGAGTGAGGCGAGCAGGCTGCTGCCTGTTGGGGCTGTTGGAAACTTGGATACCTGGACTGAGAACCCAAGAAGGGGCAGGGCGGCTGGCCAAACCGGTAGGGGGCTCGTGGCAGTGCCGGTCCTGAGAAAATGTAGACCCGGTCCTGAGAAAATGTAGACCCTGTTAAACAATAAAATTTGGGTTTTTTTCTAAGTTGCAAACTTGCAATGCCAGTAAATTGTGTTAAAAATTTAAAATACAAATTACTAATAAATGTAGTGAGAAAAATAAAATTAGTCATTAATAACTTAAAATTTATTTAAAAAGAGACATTCTTCGAGCATATTTAGATGCAAAGTAATCTACTAAACTTGCAATGTCAAACTCTTGGAGTGTTTCACATTCTATTGATATCAATGTCAATCCATTGAGTCTCTCTTGTGACATAGTTGACCACAAGCAGGACTTCAGCAACTTGGAAAAACTTCGTTCTGCCGAGGCGACAGTAATTGGAATGGTTAGCAAAACTCTGTAAACAGGGGCGGACCCAGGAAATCCGTTTTGGGGGGTTCAAAATATTTTTTGGAGGGCGAAAATTATTTTTTGAGGGACGAAAATTATTTTTCGTGTATATATACCCTAGAATTTTTTTTGTTGGGGGGCGGTTGCCCCCTGGATCTGTAATACGGTCCGCCCCTGTATGTACGCAATAAAAGCATTTTGGAAAACAATTCATTTCTTTTAAAGATTTCAAAATTCTTGTTGCCCCCATCTTTTCTTTTGGCAAAATCTCTCTAAGCAATTCTTGTTGACCGGATTGATATTCATATGGAAAAATAATTATTAACAATTCTTAAAATTCTTCTCTAATCCTGTAGATGTTTATAAATTTTTAAAAAATATTCAGTTTAAATTTAGGGTGAAAACATATGAAAGACTATACTAGTATAATTATAATTTATCAAATAAAAGTTACCTAATTATATATTTATACCACCTTCTTAGATTTTAATTTTTAAACACATTTAACATTTATTATCAATTAAAATAATGATTTACTTTAACTTCCAAAAATTATCAAATGACAACACAAATCAACAATTCAATAATTCAACAATTCCCAATAATTAGCAAATAGCAACTAAGTGAATCAGAAAAGCTGAAAATCAGTGGACTGACCGGAGTCCGGTGGCGGGCCTTGCGCTGGCGCTTGGTAGCGGAGGTGATGGAGGTCGACGCTCAGTCCTTAACTCATTCGCCGTCCTCCGAAGTCTTTCACGGATTCACTCCAGAGCAGCGGCCAGCGTGCTTCTTCTGATTTCCAAGATCTTCAAGTGCGCCGGCGGCCTAGTCGGGGAATGCGCAGGTAGAAATTTGGCGCTGTTACGACGTTGGGTGCAGGGAAGTTGAGCACAGGTAGGAGGAAGCATTTGGGCTGGGTTATAATACTACCAGGTAGTTTTTTTTTGGACCCTTCAAAATTCCGGGACCTGTGCGGTTGGACTGGGCTGCCATGTCCTGGGCCGACCCTGGCTCGTGGTAGGCGAGCCAGCGAGTTTGGCGCTTGGGCCTAGAGTTGTAAACGAATCGAATCGAGTCGAATAGTGCGATTTCGTATTTGTATTTGTTTAGATTTTTGAATACGAATTCGAATTCGATTATGAAACGAATATTATTTTCAATTTGTATCTATATTATATAGTAAAACAGAAAAGTGGCAACAAAATTTTGGGCGGGAAGTGTGAAAAGGCTTGGCCAAGAGAATTCCACGCCTAAGCACGGAAGTAAAAAGTAGGGTATTAATTACACTACATTAATGAAAAGCATCGGCCAACTAAAATGGAATCATCCGGAATTCTTGAGAAGGGTAAAAGCTACATTAAAATTGTAAATATATTACCAGAACATTGGGAAATGAATAGATAAATTTATATCCAAATCCTTCCTTAGATCGCTATATATATATCCTGTAGTTGTGTATCATTCGGGTGGCAACATTCACAACCTAGCAATTTGCCTTCGTATATAGTACTACTACCATGAACATTTTGGTGGTGTATAAGGATGTATAACTGGAATAATTTTTTAAGGAAGAAGAGCACTCATTTAATTTAAAAGTCGTTGTTCAATTGGGAGGGGTGGAAGAAGCGAGCTGTTTTTTTAAAGGGTTGGTTTGTGCTGGTGTTATCATGATGAAGAGAAGGGGAGAGTGATGAGATAGGGCGGCGGATGAAAATAAGCAATGGACATGGAGGCCGTGTAGACGAAGGTTTCTCACTTTCATCATTAGATCCGTATTTTGTTTGCAGAGTCACCTAATTAATAAGTGCCAAAACATCTATTTGACTGCTTTGAGTTTTGGATTACTAATTTCTAGATCTAGATAACTTTGTTAAAAGTTTTAGTTAAATTTAGTCTCTATATACTTTATACTTAGTATATATCTTCTCAATTTTTTGTAGAGTTTAGAATACGACGTAGTTAACACGTTATATTATACGTAGTATGTTGTTTAAAGTTTGTGTTTATCATTATTATAATTATAAATCCAGAAAAATTGTTAGTGTATTTGTTTTATGATTTGTGTATAAAATTGGGTTAATAATAATTGTAGTGATATTATTAAGATTTAATTTCAAAAGCTCAATATAAAGTCACTTAAAAATGATGAGTTGAATGATGAAGATTGAATGTAAAACTAAATTCATACTCCGTATATTCTTAGAAAGGAATATCAAAGTCGCACCTTTCCATGGTATTAATTTTTTGACTTTTAATTGAACATGAAGTGAATATGTGAAGCATGCTTTGTCCTACATTTATAGGAGAGTTAGTTCACTTCAACTTGATCTTGTGAGTATTAGTGTTACTATACAAGACAAGAAAAAACAATCACACGTGGGAGCTCACATAGAACATATTAAACCCAGATTAAAGCCATCGAACTACTAAAAGTAGGAAATGGAATATAAGATGTTTTTTATCCCGTAACAAAGATATATTCTCAATCTCCTACGGGAGACGGAAATTAACGATAACATCCAGAAAAAATACTGTAATAAAACTACAGATCCAATAAATGAATAGGGAGTACAATGTAAAGATAGGGATGGAGGCGGCAGCGTGGCATGGTGATGCCCGTGGCAAGCGGATATGGAGACAATTGCGAGTAGGTGTGTAGGCATGAGGACAGCCGCGGCGCCGCGGCACGAGGACGGCCGCGGCAAGCAGGCATGGAGACATGGAGACTGCGGCTGCAGTGGTTAGGTGCGTAGGCATACATGGGGCCGGGACAGTCGCGGCGGCGCAGAATGGAGACAGCGGGGGCTGCGGCCAAGGGGGAGGCCGTTAGCGCGACAACGGGCTAATGACTATGATTTTTGGAAAATGAGTAGGAGGTTAGAATTTTATAATAATATTAATCTACGGGTATATTAGTGCATGAACTTATTAATTACGTAGTACTTAATTAATTAATTAATTAATTAATTAGGTAATTAAATATTATGAATTTAACTATTATTTTGGAAAAACACTAATAAGACCGGTCAGTGGCGTATTCAGGAATTTTGTATCACACATGTCATAAACAATGACCACAATAATAATAAAAAGTGCAAAATCAATTAAATATTACAAAATATTCGCATGAAAAAACATTATGATATCAAACTGAAAATTTCATGTGTGATAATTTTTTACTTTGCTAAAAAAAATCAAACAATTTGTAATTTATTCATAATTATGTTATTAATAAGAATCAAATAAGAAATGAAATAACATTTTATTTAGAATTAACTTAAATTGTGAATGCACACGCATATTTAAAAATGGATTTATATTAAATGTAGAAATATAATTGTTACAAAAGTGTTTTAGCTGTTCTTTGATGCTTTGGTGACATTATTGCACTGTGAACCAGTTAGAGAAAACATGGAAAAATTGTGAAAATTACAAAGTGTGAGGATTATGAGCTGGATATCTTTATATCTTTATACTCCGTATCTATATCTATATATATAGTAAAACAGAAAAGTGGGGGAAAGTTGTGAGGGAATTTGGGCGGGAAGGTGTGTTCAAATAGGTGCTGCCAACGATTCCTAGAGTGTTTTAGGAAAAAACGTGTCCTTAAATGAGCTGTTTTGGGACATTTGAGGTGCCTTTTGGTCTTCCAAAAAATGTCCATAATGAGTTCAACATTAATAGGAGTGGGGTGTTTTAAGAAAAACTTGCATTGCATAATGAGTTCAACATTTAAATTTATTTTGATCGAAGTCGGTGTCATATCAATGCATGCATCATGCATGTTTTGTCCCTAGCAACCTAGCTATTGAAAGCACACGCAGATTTAAAAGAAGGAAAAAGAAAAGAAACAACGCATTAAATATGAATGGTTGGAATCTCCAATGCAATGTGTAGAAACGAGCTTCATTTCAAATTCCAGGTGCCTTTTAAATTTCGCAATAAGCATGTATTGGGTATATATATGGTCAGCTTCCTTAGCCGACTCCCATGCCCACAATCCTGCTATATATGTGTTCGTGAGGCGCCAACCCATTGAATCAGGAGTGTCTTGAGAAAATGTGAAAAGTGAAGGTCAAACTTTGGTGATGTGATCTGAATGCAGGAGTTAGTTTGCATGGTCACATTAGTGCGTACATATTTCTCCAGAAACCAAACATTTAAATGAGAATTAGTTCAACCGGTTTACGGTTCTGTTCGTCCCCCCAGATTTGCATTATAGGATGTTTCCAGTTCTCTTTTGATCTGAGTTCTCTACGGTGGCTACTCATACAAAACTTTTTTTTGAAGAACTCATACAAAACTTTGTTTTATTTTATTTTCTTATATTCAAGTATTTTTGCGATAACAAATTTTTAATTGGCAACTTTAGGACGCCATTTCGATTGTTGCCTAACAAGTCCAAGTATTTGATGTAGTGAACTCATTTATAAAAATATTTTTTATTTTTATACATGTTCAACTTCGTATGTTTTTTACTAGGATATATAGCGGTGTTTTCATACAAAGTGGGCACACGTGGATAGTTACGTTGTAACGTACTACGTAACTTAATACTCTGTGGTCTGTACTACGTATTTATCAAGTTATTTTCAAGATGATAAAGAAAGGATGTTCTATGAACTTCTTGATAAAAGGATGGTAGACATACAAGGGTAACGTATGTGTTACTCCTTATATAGAAGTAAGTGTTTTAAAATTTGTAAAACTTTTAATTGTTTCTGTCTTTCAAGATTCAATTTATGAAGTTGAATTTAAATTTTGATTACTAGAGTTACATCAATTTTGAAAATGCAGAAACACGTTTACTTAATACGAGTCATAGAAAGTTTGATGTCAGGGTTGAGCTTTGAGTTGCATTATAGAAAAAGGAGCATCATGGCGGAAGATGGCCATAAAACGCCATGTACTAGGGTTAGTTGAGGGATCCGATGTGAGGAGGATATGCTGAGATTTTAATGATCTGTCCGGATGGACCTTTTGTTTTGGGCGAGGCTGTCATAATTTTGATCGACTTCATGATTGAGGGTTTAGAATCAAATTTGATAGACTAAATAATCAAATTTTGTGGCTGAATTTAATTTCTTAAAATCAAAATTAGTTCAATATACTCTGTATATAACCATGTATATTTGAAAATGGAATCTGGAATATTCATTGTGTCAAACTTTAATTTGCTGCATTGAATTTCAATATTAAAAGGCTGCTTTGTAAATCATGTATAAATAATTGATTAAATTTGGAGTAATTTAAATTATCGTATCATCAAATTGGCATTGCTCTGTACAAGGTATATCTCTGCATACTTTGTACGGAGTATAATATAAAGGTGGACATGCATAAACCGAGTAAGTGGTATCTTCTAGGAACCACTGAATCTTGATGATCCGGGGCAACGAGGCTGTACGACAATTGATGAGAACGAAGCTGATGATCTCCAATGATCGATGTGTAATCTTTGTGAGGGATGATTGATCGATGAGGATGAAGTATGCGACTAAAAACGAATTGTTGTGATGTTGGTATGCTAAATTCAAGTTATGTGTAAGTTCAGTATGTAGTATCGAAAATGAGAAATGATTTTATTTGGATATTGGTCTTCAAAAGTATTGTAAAATAATGTACGGAGTATTACTTTTGACACGAAAGAATAGATACTTCCTCCGTCCTCCAATTAAGTTTTTGGTTTGACTTCACACATATTAAGAAAATAAATTTGACTTTACTCTGAAGTGCACTGTTTTGCACTGTTTAAACACAGTTTGATACTGTTTGACACTGTTTGGCACTGTTTAGCACTATTTTAATGTAGATTATTTGACAAATAAGGAAAATATTGAAGTGTGAACTTAATTTGAGAACTGCCCAAAAAGGAAAGTGTGAACTTAATTGGGGATGGAGGGCGTATGTTTTTAGATTACCACCTTGAAATATTAATTTTTTGCTATCATTTACTTCGTATGTTTAAAGTTCTTATCATTACGATAATTAAACTCTTGTGTGTGTGGGAAATATGCATTATTCGTATTATTCAAAAGTTTGCTTTTTATATAAGAAATATAATTTCCCGTGCATCGCACGGGTATAATACTAGTTTGTTTAACAATATAAATAGTTAACGAATCATATACCAATATCGAAATGATTTGATAATAGGTTAAATTAATATTAATCAAATATCACTCTAAAAAAACTTTTCTTATATTTCTTATGTTATAAATGCATGCTATGACTTAAGGAATGTTTGCAATTGCTTGTACTTTTTTAAAGTGATTTTTTAAGAGATTATTGAAAAAGTGATTTGTAGTAAAAGTAGGAAGTGTTTAAGAATAAAGTAATTGTGATTAAAATGTAAAAGTTGAAGTGTTTGGTAGAAAAGTGATTTTTGATGTAATAACATATCAAAATACAAAAATACCCCCAAATTAAATAATGAATCCAAGAACAGTAATGAGAGACGGACTGCTGCCCTGCCTCCTTTACGGTTGGCTGCTTCCCCCATTTCCCTCAAAATTGCAATTATCCAAGAAGCAGAAAAAGCATGTTCATGACTGCTTCTAATTTATGGCTTTAAAGTGATTTTTAAATTAGAAGTTGGATTTGGCAAACATTTTTTTTTTAGCTTTTTTTAAGTTAAAAGCTGAAAAGTGCTTATTTTAAACAATCTCAAACACTCCTTTAATATGCGTTTTAGAATTTAGTTTGTAACATTACATTTTCCTTAAAATTTAATAGATCGATGCATTTTTAGGTTGTGCACAATATACTGAAGTGTATCAATTTTATGATTATTATACATAAATATTTTCGAATTGTACATATAATTTGTGAAATAAATTGATAATTGAATATATTCTATACTTTCGAATTTAAATCATAATTTGTGAATCCAAATCATGAATCAAAATAAAATCATTTGTTTCGTTTACAACCCTTACTTCTTATGATACTTCTGATTTATTAAAAATTGGCTTGGAATTTGTATACCTAAATGTATATATGGGCTACACTTTAGAGGGTATGGCTAACTTTTAAAAGTTATTATAGTGTTATTACTATTATTATTACTATTACTAATATTATCACTAATATTAATCGAGTATATTTGATTAACATTCGAATCAAATATAATGATATTCATATTTGTATTTGATAACAATTCAAATCAAATTTAGTATTCTTATTTGTATTTGTATTTGAATTTTTCGAATACAAATCGTCTTATACGAATTCGAATCGCGAGCTGAGCATAAATTATTTGATTCCTTTACAACCCTACTTGGGCCTGCTCCTTTCTTCGTTGGGTAATTCTATATACAATCTAAGGATGGTAGTGGGGGTGGGGACCCGTGGGGAACCGCCCCGCGGGGGAAGGGAAGGATGGGGCTGGGATTGAACCGCCCCGTCCCATATCAGCCTCGTCCTCATTATAAATATATACTCAAACAGACATATATACACACAAAGATATATCAAATAATGTATAAAACATATTTAATTAAATTATATGTAGTATATAACAAACACATACACATACATATAGATCAACATGCATGCATGTCTGTTTATTAGTCACGATTAATGAACTAATACAACATACATATTATATTAGAATAATATTAAGTAATGATTAAAAAAATTATCATAAATGACATATATGAGTTTGAAAAATGAGAAGTTGAGTGAATAAAACACACACACACATGTATATATATTTGTATTATAAGTAATGAGAAATTTGGAGTGGCATACATGATTGTAACATGTTTACTTATATTTTTAGTTTTATTATTTTCATAGAACTTATTTAAATTGAAGAATTATTAAAAATTAGTGATACCATCTTTTATCTAACACAAAACTATCTACTTTAACTCTTTTAGTTCTGTATATATTCGTTTATCTATAAAATGAATTAAAAAATACGCAAATAAGATATAATTAAAATATATGTGGGGACACCCGGGCACCTGTGGGGGCAGTGGGGGCGGGCGGGGGGTGGGATGGGTCTGGGAGTAACGGGGGATGGGGCGGGGATGGGGGGAGTTTTTAGACATGGGGCGGGGATGGGGGAGTGAACCCCGCCCCAAACCTGCCCCGTTGGCATCCCTAAATTACAACCCCTCTTTTGCTAACTGCACACTCAAGTTTCGGTATAGATAAAAATACTTTTTATAGTTCCTCTCCTGCCCTTATACCGTCGATGTCTCTAGCGGCCGCACCGGGCTCAAAATTTTATCAACGCCTCCAGCAGAATTTACTCAAGCTCATCATTAGATCTGTCTGAAGCTTACGTCTCCATGAATTACTTGTGAGTTTTTTCCCTAAGAGGGGTAGTTTTCAATATTATTTCCCAAACTAGGTACTATCAAACTTATTTCCCAAGTAGGGGTGTTTTTTCACTATCATCGTGCCATGTCATGACTACAATAAATTTTCAATTTCCAAGTCATTTTCATGCCACGTCACATATCCATACGTACTTCGTACATATAAAAAGTTGAGGGCTATCGGAATCGAACCCACGACCACGCATAGAAATCATGTAGGCTTAAACCACTGCACCGTTATATGTATCGTGTCATGTCAGCACTACAATAAAAATTTCATTTCCAAGTCATTTTCATGCCACGTCGCATATCCATATGTACTTCGTACATATAAAAAGTTGAGGGCTATGGGAAATGAACCCACAACCACGCATAGAAATCATGTATGCTTAAACCACTGCACCAACTCTCTTTGTTGTTATATTCTTATAAATTAACGTTATATGTATTCGTCTTCTGCCAGACATGTACGTAGTATATTATAACTAAACACTCCTCCATATTATTATTCTTTTCAATACAATAATAATAATAATAACAATAATAATAATAACAACAACAATAATAATAACAACAATAATAACAACAATAATAATAACAATAAGAACAACAACAACAACAATAATACCGTGGTGCATGATGTTTGCCGACGATATTGTATGGATTGATGTTTGCCGACGATATTGTATGGATTGATGAAACACAATCAAGTGTTAAAGCAAAGTTGGAAGTATGACATCAAACATCGGAGAACAAGGGTTTCAGACTAAGTCGGAGCAAGACATAGTACATGGAGTGCAAGTTTGGTGGAGGTAGAAGCAGTGATAATACCGGAATTATTCTAGATGGTGAGGAGATACCGGTCAGTGATATTTTCCGTTACCTGGGCTCCATAATTCAGTAGGACGGTGAGTTAGATGGAGATGTATCCCATAGAATCAGAACATGGTAGATGAAGTGAAAGAGTGCGTCAGGGACTCAGGATTAATTTCTATGCGATCGGGGTATGCTGACCAAACTGAAGGGTAAATTTTATAGGACAACAATTAGGCCTGCATTACTGTATGACACAGAGTGTTGGGCGGTGAAACAATGTCACGTTCAAAAGATGAGTGTGGCAGAGATGTGCATGCTGCGTTGGATGTGTGGGCATACTAGAAAGGACCACGTGAGGAATGAGACAGTCAAACAAAGGGTGAGAGTAACACCTATTGAAGATAAGATGCGGGAGTCGCGCCTACGGTGGTTTGGTCATGTGCATAGAAGACCGAATGATGCACCTGTCAAACGAGTTGAGATGTGTGGAGAAGAGGCATGGAAGAGAGGGTGAGGAAGACCCAAACAGACTTGAGTTAGGGGAGTCAGAAGTGATACGCTTCATTGTGATTTTTACACTATTCACAGATCTTACTTTGATCACGATTTTCTACATATATATAATCAAAAATACACAATTAAATATAATTAGAACGGGGATAGTAATAGCTTAACTTTTTTTCAGTTATCCTTTTGATGATATTATTATGTATGAGATTCATGTTACTTGATCCCAATATCTTTTGGAATTAAGGTTAGTAAGCTGTTGATTTTGTTTACGAGAGAAAACTGTCCGGTTCAGAACGGGCATCACGTGCGTTTTACCGTAGTCTGTTTACAAGGGAGTCGCCGTGATTTCTTTCATTTTGATCTGATGGAAAGATGCTCTGCTTTGTCGCCAACAAGTTCTCCCGCCGCAAAAAGCTTCTCCCCCCACTGTTCTCTTCTACCCGCAACTTCCTCTCAGCCGCGGCAACGGCTCATTCTCCCTCCGCTTCCTCCAAACTGCATTCTAAATACACCTTCACTCCCCCGCCCTCTCTTAAACCCACAAGAAGCCCTAATCTCTCAGACCCGAAACCCCAAAAGCCACCTAAACCCCGCTACCGCCCACCCTCCTCCCTCGACCGTGACGGCCCTCCGACTTCCGTCAACAACCTGCCGTTCGACTTCCGTTTCAGCTACTCCGAGAGCAGCCCTACTGTGCGGCCTATTGGGCTTCGTGAGCCCAAATACTCCCCTTTCGGTCCAGGCCGATTAGACAGGGTATGGACCGGCGTCTGCGCTCCTGTGGTTGACCCGAAGCGGGGATCGCCGGAAGATGAGAGAAAGCTGGAGGAGAAGAGGAGGAGGATGTGGGAGAAAATACAAGGGGAGCCATTGAGCAGCGCAGAGAGGAAGGCTCTTGCTGAGAGATGTCAGAGGCACAAAACTAAGCGGCAAATCAATTTGGGTATTCCAATTACTCTCTCTTCTGCCTTAAAAATGTAGTCTTTTAGCTTAAAGTTTCAGTTTTTATGGGTTTTTCTGTCTGCCAGTTTATAACCTGCTACTTGTAATGGTTTCTGCAACACATATTGATAATTGAGTTGAGAATGCAGAAATGATATATTGATAACACGGATAGTGTAATGGAACTGGCCAAGCTTGGGTGTGGTATCATGTTTCATTCAGTTTCATTTACCCCAGTGCCATGTTTGTGATAAAAAAAAGTCAGGAATGTTTACAATCTAGAAAATGATAGGGTTAGTGAATTAGATGCAAAAAGATGGGAAATTGGAAATGGTACGGAGTATGAGATTTGAGCACAGTTAAATATTTGGTTCTAACAATAAGTCGTGTTTAGATATTTGCTCAAAACTAAATTTGTTTTGATATATTTCTATTATACTCCGTATATATATATAGAGTTCAGGGTGTAAATATCTATGTTAAAAATTTAAAATTCATTTTTTACTAACATTTGATTTTCTTTTCTTAAATTCCGCAGTAAAAACTATCCATAAATTCTTTTTAACAAAGCCTTAAGGTTAGTTTGATTGGGGATTTTGGAGTAGATGAAAAGACTGATTTTGGTTCTACTAATACATCTTTCTTAGTTGATCTTAGTTAGTTAAATAGAGTATATCTATATAATTTTTCGCCTTCACTTTATTCCCAAGTTCCAACTATGAAAATGTAAGAATACTTTGAAAAATACTTAAACATGATTTTAGTCCCTGTAGATGTTACAGTTAATTCCCTAAATAGAACTGAAAACAATGAAGAAATGTCCAAGTAGGACTTCCATGTTTCATAGCACTAAAAATGCATTTGACAAAATCACCCTTAATGAATTCTTAAGTCTATTTATAATTAAAAATAAAAAATAAAAAAGCTTTCCAATAACCATAGTTTCTGCCACCACTTCTGCCACTCCTGTCTAAAACTTTATTCATAACTATTTTCAGTTTTATAAATTTTTAAAGATTGATGGTGGAGTTAAAACAAAGTGAAATTAATCATTCACGTTTTAAAAATTGGTCTTAAAAGATCTTGTTTTGTTTTCAAATGGAGGTTGCTAGGATCCATGAGGGTCTAAAAAATCAGCATAAACTATAGGGGTTAAAACAAAACAAAGATACATGGTCATACAACAAAAGCACTATATTTGTGGTACTAAACACATATTTAAGCCATTAAGAATAAATACCACCCTCCCGTCCCCTCCAATATTCCGAACCAAACAAGCCCTCAAGAGTTAGGAGATTTTCAGGAATTTTCCTTGCACCACCTAGTTAGGTGTGAACTCCTGTTCCCACTGATTTGGGGTTATCTACAATCAACCTTCAAATCACTTTAACTGAAGTCTAAGTTACACTAATACCATAAGTGCACAATGGTATTGTCAAGGGCTTGGATGAAGTGTGCAGTTATGAAGCTTAAGTCTTTAGATGGAGTGTATATACATGAATGAGTTGCCCAAGAAGTTAACTTTACTTGTTGCCTTGATTTGGTAGGTAGAGATGGATTAACACACAATATGCTGAGTGTTATTCATAATCACTGGAAACATGTGGAGGCTGTCAGGATAAAGTGTATGGGGGTTCCCACCGTTAATATGAAGAACTTGTGCTCTCACTTGGAGGTATCCCCTCTCTTTCATATATTTCCTCACTTTATTATTCTATAACCTTATTCTGCAATTGTAAATTTAATAGTTTTCTTATAGGATTCCCTTGGCATGCATGAAAGTTGTATCTGCTGTTTATTTTTCCAAAAATTAGCCACATAGGACTGATCAGCGATTGAACACCGGACCGGAACAGAGTCTTAACAGTGTTAACGGCATACCTGGCTTGTATTTTTTCGGATTCAAGACCGGACCAGAACTGATTTTTATATTTGTATTGTTAGAAAATAATATTGGTTATGTCTTAATATTTCAAAATAGCTTGTGTGAATCTGTACATGAAGTGGGAAAAAGGTAAGGTCTGAAGGATGCATACACCAAATACGGAGTATATGTTAGAGAAAAATATAAAAGTTAGCAATTTATTTTCTATTTCCAGCCCAACTGGTCTGAACTGGTTTATTCCGGTTTAGACCAGGCTACTTCCGAACCCATATCTTAAAAAATTGAGGATCTACTATCAGAGCCGTATAACATTATTCTTTTTCCAGTTTGGTCTGATCCTTATTTGGTCTGATCTCGTCCATCTTGACCCGAGTTTTTTCACCACTAACAGTGGTAACTGGTATTACTTGCAAGAAGGTTTTGACAGTGTAATTTGTGTGGTATATGTCATTATTTATCACTGAACGTTTTCTATGTGATGTATTCCAGGAAAAGACGTTTGGTAAGATTATCCACAGACATGGAGGTTTTATTGTGCTCTACAGAGGGAGGAATTATGACCGGAAGAAGAGGCCAGAGATTCCATTAATGCTGTGGAAACCTCATGAGCCTGTCTATCCAAGGCTTATAAAAACTACTATTGATGGCTTGAGTATCGAGGAAACCAAGGAAATGAGGAGAAGAGGATTAGCAATCCCCGTTTTGACCAAACTCGGTAAATTTTTATAATTTCTTACTCCCATTAGGTGTTTTAAGATTTTAGTGTGTATTGTATCTAACAACGTGTAGGGTTCAATGCACAGCTAAAAATGGCTATTATGCTAGCCTTGTACCCATGGTTCGGGATTCTTTTTTGACGGATGAGTTGGTGAGAATAGATTGCAGAGGGCTCCCGAGGAGTGATTACAAGAAAATCGGCTGTAAATTAAGGGTTAGGTTTGATTTAACTATTACAGCTTATTTGGCTACCTTAGAAAGTGTTACTTTTTCTGGAAAACAAAAAAGTAGAGCTTGACTAACTCCTTGACCAATGAAACAATTTTCGACTTTCCACAGAAAGTCGTCTTATTTTCATTCCAAACTAGGGAATCCAATTGTAGAGTTTTTTTTTGTGTGTGTGCGGAGGGAAGAAGGGGGGAGGGGTGGTGGTGAGACGTAACTTTTAGAAGCTTGTGTGGAAAGTGAAATGTGATATTCCTGGGATAGTCTTTATTGAATGAGAAGTTTTCTTGTCAGTATGGAACTATATGTCGACTGTACCATAGCATGGACAATATAGTTATATTTGTTAATTTGTTTCACTTCTTGGCCTGTTTAGTAGCCTTATCCAACATATTATTTTCATTACTTGGCTGATATAGATGTTACCAAATGCTTTTCCTTCAAATTTCATCAAATTTAACAGTGATTCTGAACTCTGATACCATTGTGTCGATGTGGAGGCAGGATCTTGTTCCTTGTACCCTGGTAACGTTTGATAAGGAGCAGATTGTGGTATGGAGGGGTAAAGACTATAAACCTAATAAAGAGGATGGATTTTTACTCCCGGATAGGGAACCATTTGATGATGATGCAAAGGATGGTTTGTTTAGCTACCAAGAAGAAGAAGAAGAATGCAGTGTGAGATTCTTGGATGGGGAGCTTCTTCTGAAAGGCGAATTGTCTCCACCTAGCCATACTCGAACAGCATGACTTGTTCTGCTGTATAAAGCTACAGGCCTTTTTGGGATGCCTGATGTTACAAGTTCTGTTATATAAGAAGTGGTTCTCATTTAAGCGCTATTTTTTAATAAAAGTTTTCATCCAGTGCTTGTTAAATAAGCACAAGAAGTTTTGTTCATTTTGAATGAAAAACACATTTTCATTTCCTAGTTAAATGATTCTTTTTAAAGTAAAAGTAATTTCTATCCTATGGAGACCACTTATTATTTGAGAACAAGTCATCCCTAACATTCTCTATAGTGCTTAGCAAGGGAGTCTCGAGATGCCATGGAGAAGGAGGTGGGGTAGGAGGAGATGTTTGGAAAGCTACCAACTTCATCTCTGACACTGATCAACGGCTTTCAGGTATTTTTGTCACACCGTTGATTGTAATTTGGCTATTTTCAACTCAGATAGTTTTCATTGCAAAATTTGAATATATTGTTTTTAATTATGTAGAAATCTTTTTGGACTAAATGAAGACAACTACGGAGTAATCTTTATATATATAAAAGCAGAATCGTGAGAAAAAAGTGAAGAATTCTGGCCACTAGATTACTACACGTGTCAAAAGATGATGAAATTTAAAACAACACAGAAGAATCACGATCCACTCCTTGCATTTTCCAGATTCAAACACGTGGCAAAACTCCACTGCTTTTCAAATCCAGTAGTGGGCAAATTGCATCACGATTGCACGACATTATAGCATTACTATGGCAGTTTTCCCCAACCGCACCAATATCCAATATAAATATCCTGCATTACAGAAGAGCTTAAACTATTAAACTCAAGCGCAGGGACCGCAATATATTTCCCACCTTCTGTCAATTACGTAACTCTAATAATTTTTAGAGAAATTGTGAATTTTATTCGACTGCAACGCAGTGGCAGAGGGTTGAAGAGGGTCATCAGCAACTAAAGCTGCTTAAACGCTTTCCTCCACCACAATCTGCCCTAGGTTGAAGATGTTGTTCAACGGAATTCAAGAGCAACACCTCAAAGACCAACTGGGCACTGCGAGTCAGACTGGTGCGTTCATATGCAATCCCAGTTTTCACCAACAAAAATGTAAATGTGATCAACACTCTAAAATGTGTGTTTCATCATTCATGATCAAGATGTAATTGATCTTAGTCATTTAAATCCACTTCATTTTTTAATTCTGAGACAAATTGACTCACTTTTTATTTATGCAGGGTAGGGCTGGACTCGGGCCGGGCGGCCCGAACCGGAACCGGCCCGGCCCGGTGGCCCGGTCCACCGGCGGTTCGGGTCGAACCGGCCCGGTGGATACCGGTTCCGGGCCCGGGCCCTCCATTTGGTGAACCGGCCCGGCCGGTTCGGGCCCGGTCCGGGCCGGAATAATTTTTTTTTTATTTTTTTTTTGATTTTTTTTTAATTTTTGGGTTGGATTAGTTATTTTGGGCCATTTGAGGTGGTTTGGGGTGGTTTGGGGTTGAGGGGGAGGGGTAGAGGGTTAAATAAGAGAAGCCAAAAATTTTTTTAAAAAAAAAGGGGGGCGGGTGAACCGGCCCGGAACCGGCCCGGTCGGGCCCGGAACCGGCCCGGAACCGGTCACCGCCGGTTCGGGCCCGGGCCCTCCTATTGGTGAACCGAGGCCCGGCCGGTTCAAGGCCCGAACCGGGCCCGACCCGAACCGAGTCCAGCCCTAATGCAGGGCAACAGGGTTCATGCCACGATTCGTCGGGAAAGGCTTGGAGCATTCAAGGAACAGATAAAAGAATAAGGGAATGTTTAATTTACATCTTGAGGAATTTCGTTGTCACTCCTAACTCCATGTAGCACACGGGTCATGAGACTACCCGATTATGTAACTCCATGTATAATCTGTTTTTATGTATTTCAAATTTGCCATATTTTGTAAATGTGTTACGCAATGGGCGATCATAAAATAAAATGAAATTTTCACTGCAGATGTCAAAAGGAGAATCAAATCAATTCTCATGCGTTGCTGAGGCAAGATGCTAATAGTTGTTTACTTCATGATTCAGAACCATTTTTGTAAATTTTAGTTTATGAAAAAATGGGTTATAAACATTCAGATTTTAGATTTTAGATTTTAGCATATGCTTTTTAATCAAAGGGAATAAAAAATAAATAAAGATTAAAGCAAATTTAGTAAAGGTGAATAAAAAAGTCATTAGGTTAAACTAAATCAAACTGATAAGAAGATGTTTACGGTTTACCAGATGCCTATGTGAAAAAGCCTATGAAAACATGTGAGCACTAGCATAGATACTAATGAAAATATAATTGAAATAATATTAGAAGAAAAACTTAATGACTTTTGTTTAGAAGAAAAACTTAAAAACAACTGGGTGTGATGAGTTAAATTGTTTGTGAAAAAAGTGTTCAGTCATGGATGCTTAAACTATAGAGATGATTGTTACAATGTTACCCTTCAGAAATCCCAATTGCTTAAGCCCTTATTGATTCCTGTGCATATAGCCCGTATATATCAGCCCTTTCAACTGTTTATAAGTTACTGCCCTTAGTTGAACTGCATCTACACATGGTTCAAGCAATAGGAACTAAGAATGAGTAATATTAAGAAATACATTTTTTTGAAGGAATATTAAGAAATACATATGTCAATCACTTAGTAGAAATTCAGAATGTAGTTGTTTATAAGTTATTTATATGGGGAAATTATCATTTACTTAAGTTATAAAAAAGTGAAGGTCCTGAATCAAAGATAACTTATAACAAGATATTATGTTGAATCAAACAAAACTTCCGTTTCACACATAATCAAATCAAATAAGACGAGTAGGAATGACTATAAACAATTATAAGAAAGGGTGCTTTGATCTTAAAAATATATTACTTCTAAATAGGGGTTGCACATGATAAAAGTTTGATGAATTTGCTCGGATCTAAAATTTAAACAAGTAAAGATGATGAGCTCTTAAGATATTGCAAGATAAACTTTTCTTCGAAGATTGTTACTGCAAGATAATTAAAAAATCAAATATTTAGAAAACTGTAGAGTAACAACCAAGATATAATCCCCCAATACATGTCTTAGTGCCGTAGTGAATTATAATTTAGCTACAGAGTATAACTTCAATTGAAATTAAATTAACCTATATGAACAAGAAGAAGCTACATCGTGTATTTGTTGAGAACTAAAGAGAAAAGAGATTACCTGGTACGAACCACTTTGCGGCGGAGCATATATTGTCTATCAGCTTCGGTAGAGCATGACAGCAGGATTGCATTTGAGGTCATATAAATACACGGAGAAAAGGATAACAAACAACGTTAAAGTAAAAATTAAGGAAAATTGGTATTCAATAAACAAAAAACGTAATAAATTGACCGAGATGGGACGGAAGAGGAGGGGATGTGGAACCTGAATGGAGTAACCGCGGCGGTGGATTGCCTATTCGAATCTTTTTATGGTGACGATGAGAGTGTGAGGAAGAATGTTTGAGAAAGAAGAAGTGTAGCAGACTCTTGAGAATTCCAGAGTCGCCGTGTGTTGGAGTATGACTGTGAGTGAAATGAGGTGACCGGTATATACGGAGTAATATACGGACTATAGTTACTTATATACGAAGTACATAGCTATGGTTATATGTCGGTTGTACTACACTACTACGGATATTATTATACTATATTTATGATCTGGATCAATATTTGGAGTCCAATATCTGTATCAATATTATGAATCATTCATTTAAAAAGGAATTTGGCTATGTTGTATAACCCCAGTTCGGAAAGGACTCGACCATATCATCGGGTCACGGGTCAATCCGGACTTGAGTATCAAGTCAAACAGCGTTCGAGAACATGTGAAAACTAAGGGAGTGTTTGCAAAAACTTAAAAAAAGTATTTCGTACTTCTGAGCTTTTGGCTTAAAAAACACTTATTTACCAAACACTACCAATTTTTAATTTTTCTCTGCTTGCATGTGAAAAGTGTTTTTCTCTATTATATTACACAAAAAACACTTATTTTATCAAACACTGTCAACTTTTACTTTTCAAAATCACTTTTTCTCAAACACTATCAACTTTTACTACTTATCACTTTTTCCCAATCACTCGAAAATTGCTTTTTAAGCAGAAGCAGTTGCAAGCACTCCCTAATATAGTAATAATAACAAATATTTATATTCACGCAAAAAATTAATTTAAAAAGTAATTATTATTCATACGTAGTATTAATCAATTAACAGTAATACTCCCCCGTCCCTTATAACTTTGACAACTTTCCTTCTTTGGATGTCCCATTAACTTTGACACTTTTCCATTTTAGTAAAGAATACTTGGTTCCAATTAATTCTCTCTCCTCTACACAAAACTCAACCACACAGTTTTTATTTTATTAATCTCCGTACCGGTCAAATTTGGCAAAGTTATTAGGCTGCTTGCAACCCACTGGGTGAATAGCCAAATGTGATCTTTTCAACCCCAAATATGCTACAATCCATGTATTATGAGGTGCTAAAGTGATTATATCAACCTTCTCTAGTGGGAATTCCCAGCCTTATTCACGGAGAGAGAGCAAGGTAAGCAAGGACCTGCTATAAGCAGAAATGTGGGGCCAAATATATTAAAATACCCAAATTTCTTTAATGTTTTATAACTTTTTTTATTTGTAAACTATTTTTTTAAAAAACTATATTAAAATTCATAATTTTTTATTATCTTTCATATGACACCAATATAACATATGTACAGTTGTAAAAAAAAATAAGTTTTATCAGCTAGAGACTTTTTAGATTTAAAATTTTTGTAAAGTTGATCTAAATGCCAAAACTAAAATCTCATGATTGGAATATTTTTTTTTTATATCTTTCAGTTATTTATTTCAAAACTAGTTCTGAATTAGTGACAAAAAAATTAAACTCCAAATTTATATATTTCTACATTGGAATGTATGACTTTTAAAAGCATAACTATTCACAAAAAACATAAACAAAGAGTTAATGTATAGTAATAAAACAAAGGTTTTAATTAAGAAAAATAATTGAAGAGTGAATATATTGACGGTGTTGGATTGCAGAGAAAAATAAATTGACTGGATGAATACGTATAAAGTGAGGGGAAATCAGATTTATTGACTCATAAGGGTTGCGGGTAGCCTTAGGGACGGAGGGAGTATTAGGTAAGCATTTGAAATACTCTCATAATATTTCAAAATACGGAGTATAATTTCATTCCTACAATAACTAATAAAGTTATTTTTTATTTGTACTGAACATTATAATATAATTTGACATGATTTTCATATGCAACCATAAACAACAAAAATCAAGGTCAATCGTTTTCTCCGAGTAACTAAGCGTGAAAAGATAAAGATATTGATCACATGAATACTTCCAAATGCAAGTCGTATTTCAAAAAGTTTTTCATATTGTTTGATGCCTTCTACGTTGTAATATTTTTTGTTTTAGAAATGCATCCAGTATAACAACTTTATTATATAGTATTTCATTGTTATTTGAATTATTCTACATAAATATTCTAATATATACTGCCCCGTCTATAGAAAGGTTCTCTCACTTTTCGTTTTTGGGCGTCCCATATAAATGTTCTTCTTTTCATTTTTGAAAACAATTAACAATCATAAATGACAAATTAATTATTAAATATTAAAAATAATATATGTATACCGTCACTGTTATCATCACTAACCCCATTATACTATATGCCTATTAAAATTATTTTTCTAAATATATTTAAACTACCTTAATTATTTCATGAATATCTAAATAATCGTTTCATTTTGTCATTACGACTTTTCAACGGGACAGATAATATATAACAACACTTTTGCCATTAACTACCTTATCTTACACTATAGATAATATACAACAACACTTTTGCCCTGTGCATCGCACGGGTATAATACTAGTATTTTAGAATTGTTAAAAGTCCTTATTGAGTATATACAAAATGTGTATCACTTAACTAAATCAATTTTTAACCTATCTTTGCTTGGGCATTTCTCTGATATTCCATATTATTGGTCTCATACCAGGCACACCTGTATAACTTCATTTGAGTTAAGTAATTTGTTTGATGGTACAGATTCTCTCCTTGATTTCAGCAACATTTTCCTCCCACAAAAAGCTCCTCATCCCACTGGCTTCGTCCTCTCTGTTGCTGCCGCTATTTATTCTTCCGCTTCGTGCAAATTGCTTCCATATACTACTCCAATACCTTACTTAAACCCAGAAGAAATCTTGATCCCCAGGCTCAGAACCCCAAAAGCAATCAAAAGCCTGCTACCACTCACTCTCCCCTCTTGACCGTGATGGTCACCTGACCTCCGTGACAACCTGCCAATAGATTCTGGTCCACATACACTCTAAGAGCAGTCCCACTGTGTGGCCGTTAGGCTTTGTGAGCCCAAATCCCCCCTTTATGCGCATGTACCCTTGCGGTTAAAATGAAACATGGACTGCCTGAAGGTGAAAGAAAGTGAGTAGAAGAGGAAGGGAGATATGAAAGATGATACAAGCTGAGCCATTGAGCAATGCAGACATGCACAGAGGAGAGTTGTAGCCGAGGGTGTTCTAATTTGTCTGAAAAGTTATTGCAGTGTTGCAAATTGTAGCCTTTTCTTTCGTTCCATGCTCTAGTTAATACTTGATAGGGATACTTTGTATCTTCCACTCTTACATCTCTACTGGTAATGTTTTATGAAAAATATGCCGATAGTTAAGCTGAGATTGCAGAAATAGTAAATTGATACTCCCTCCGTCCCTAATAAAACTTCCAAATAGGTTTGTCACACAGTTTAAGATAGTGGGTATTGTGTGGTGGAGAATTGTGCAGAGGAGAGAGAAATGTGCAAGAATTGTTGTGAACCACAAATTCTGGTCAAAAAGGGAAAATGGAAATTTTAATTGGGACGGGCGGAAAAGGAAAGTTGGAAGTTTATTTAGGGACGGAGGGAGTTAGGGATGGACCCGGGCCGGGCCGGTTCCGGTTCCGGGCCGGGCCCGGGCGGGCTTTTTTTTGGGGATTGTTGGGCCCGGAACCGGCCCGGGGTGATACCGGGTCCGGTTCGTGCCGGGTCGACCCGGTCGGGTCCGGGCCGGGCCGGGCCGGGCCCGGGCTTTAAATTTTTTTTTTTAGATACCAAAATTAAATTAATATTACTTGGACATAAAAAAGGGTAAAACATATTTATTTGATATTTGTAGTACAATTGAAAATTGAGCAAAAATAAAAACATGAAATACACTTTATAATAAGTAATGAAGTATGAATCAATTAGAATTTCCTCCATCTTCAGTTGTTTCTTCCATAAAGTGGCGAGTGGGTTCAATGCTGATTTCTTGAGTTCTACGTTTGGCCTTCAACCAATCGTGGAAGCAAACAAGCGTCTCAAGAGAGTTTGCGCTTAATCTCGTTCTATAATCCGTTAGGACGTTGCCGGCCGCACTAAACTCTTGTTCCACAGCAACTGTTGATACCGGCATTGCTAGCACTTGCTTAGCCATCTTTGATAAGATCGGGAACGTTCTCTCTTTTTCCTTCCACCACTGAAGAACGTCAAAGTCATCCCCTTCTTCATAATCAATAGGAAATGTTAGATACAAAGAAAGCTCGTTGATCGAGCTTTGTTCATTAACCGGAGTTGATTTACTTTTTTTCATAAGATTGCCAAATGCAGATTTGAAAATTGATTTTCCTTTAGATGAAGAAGATGTTCGTGGCGGGGGAGGGGGTGCGTTACCATATTGTGCATGAAACTCATTAAATAATTGATATAATAAATTACTAACCTCTTGGAATTGTTGTTTAGGGTCTATGGCCTTGTCGTCGTACATAGGCAATGGACCAAAAAAAGAAGCATAATAGTAATCTAAACATTTCTCCAAAGAAGCAAGTCTAAAACGAGGATCAAGAATAAATGCAATACCATATATATGCGGAATATAGGAATAATATTTTAAAAACTTTTGTTTCATGAAGTCACAAAAATAACTAACGTAAGCGGCGTCAGAGAATTCAGAAAAAGCGCCGGCGAGATTAACAGCTTCAACAAAAAATTGGTTTGCGGTAGGTTTATAAACATGACTAAAAGTTTCAGTGGCATTATTAAAAAACACCAAAACATTCACAATTTTTTCACAAGTGTCGATATCGGCCGGGTTTATAATATAGTTAGCATATTCTCTTAAAAAAGCGGGAAAATGGTTTTTATATCTAATAAGCACTTTAATTAAATTATAAGTACTATTCCAACGAATAGACAAATCTTCAGGAAAAGCACAATATTTGACATGTCTTTCTTTCAAATAATTTCTCCATTGCATCTTAAGTGGATTACTAGCCCAAATCAGTTTAATCCCCCCCTTGACCACCTCCAAAGCATCTCCCAACGCCGCAAGACCGTCCTTTGCACATAAATTTAAAATATGACATGCACAACGCTGATGAAAAAACCTACCCATCAAAGAAGATGAACCACACAATTCACGCAATCTAGGAATAGCCGCAGTATTATTAGTAGCATTATCAAAACCAATAGCAAACACCTTATCAATCAAATTATACTCAACTAAAATACGCTCAATGAGAATATAAATATTATCGCCGGTGTGTCGATCATTAAATTCACGAAAAGCAAGAACACGTTTATGCATACACCAATCATCATCAATATAATGTGCAGTCAAACCCAAATAATATAAATGATGATGAGTATCCTCCCATATATCACTACATATGGTAACACGGCCATCAAAGTTTGCGAAAAATATTTGTAATTTTTCCTTTTCCAAAACATATTGCCTTATAACTTCTTTTTTAATTGTTTTGCGACTATAGTTTCGAAATTGAGGATTTAAAGTACCTTGAGCATATTCTTTTAAAGCAAGACTTTCGGAAAAAATAAAAGGCAAATTTTCTTCAACAATCAAATGCGACATACCAGTCAAATGTCTTTGATCATCATAGGAGAAATTACCGAAGGGTTGGCCACTTCCAAATCTTGAAATTTGTGTTTGCTTTCCCTTGCCTTTGTCTGATTTCGCATATTCCGCCGGGTGCTTGGCCTTAAGATGCCTTGTGGCGCTCCCGTACCCTCCAGAAGTTCCCAAGTTATACTTCTTTGGGCAATGCTTGCAAGTGGCGTACCATATCTCGGTTTGGGGGTCTTTAAATTTTGTAAAATTTGCCTTAAAGACTGATTCAGCTTTCTCACCGCCTTGGGAAGAAGTAGCCACTTCCGCTTGCTCTTCATCATCGTACGGTGTGCCATGAACCTCGTGCTCGACCGTTTGCGGATCCCTCTCCTCCGCATCATCATCCTCGAGCTCTTCTTCGTCAATGGTCGGGATGTTTTGTTGATGGAAGAAGGCCCCTTGATTTTGTCGTAATAGTTGTTCTACTTGCTCATCGGACATCGCAGACCCATATCTTTGGTTATAATCCGCATCAAAATCATCTCGGGTTTGAGATGAAGCCCCGGCCCGTCCCTTACCTTTGTGCAAGCTTGGATGATTCCTCGCAATCTCCTTTGTTCGGTTGCGGCGGAGGTTACCCATATCTACTGAAGCTCTACCACGTTCCATCTTAAAAATATAACAAATATTAAATTCGAAGTACAATTAAACTAGTGAATTTCAAATACAAATCTAACAAATCGAACTACAATGTAACAATTAAATTCGAACAATTAAATTGACTAGAATGTAACAATTAAAATGTACCAATTAAATTAACTTTTATTATAAAATTTGAACAACTTCAATATAAATAACAATTAACTAGTTCAATAGGAGAAATTTTAACTAGACATTAAATGTAACAATGCAATGAAATTTAGAGGAGAATAATAAATGTAACAATGAATTAACTATTTTGATAGGAGAAATTTAACTACTTTTATATTAAGTGTATAAGTAGATATAGTAAATATATATATTTAAAAGTAGATAATAAGTAGATTAACTAGTAATATATAATATTATGTTTATAGTATATATAATATAAATATATGACTATAAGATGATGAATACACTTAATATATTAAGTAGATAAATTTTCGAACAACTATAATATAATTAACAATTAACTAGTTTGATAGGAGAATAATAAATGTAACAATTAACTAGTATTAGAGGAGATTAAGAAATGTAACAATTAACTAGTTTAACAAGTAAACAATTAATTTCGAATTCTTGTCTAACAGTTTTTAATGTAACTATTTCCAATAAACTAACAACTACCAATTAACCACTTTTATAGCAATGAACTAATACTAAAAGTCTAAAATGATAAGTGAAACAATTAACAACTTTTATATTAATGAAGAATGTATTAGTGTGTAAACAAAATTAATGGGAATGTTTGATAGGAGAATAATAAATGTAACAATTAACTAGTATTAGAGGAGATTAAGAAATGTAACAATTAACTAGTTTAACAAGTAAACAATTAATTTCGAATTCTTGTCTAACAATTTTTAATGTAACTATTTCCAATAAACTAACAACTACCAATTAACCACTTTTATAGCAATGAACTAATACTAAAAGTCTAAAATGATAAGTGAAACAATTAACAACTTTTATATTAATGAAGAATGTATTAGTGTGTAAACAAAATTAATAAGTAGATAATATTATGTTGATAGTATATATAATATAAGATGACTAACAAGATGACTAACACACTTATATATGTAGTAAATATATATTTATAAGTAGATAATAAGTAGATAATATTATGTTAATATTACTACAAGATGACTAACACACTTATATATTATACTTTAATATATAAGTATATTACCATAAGTTGAGTAATACACTTATATATTATACTTTAATATATGTATAACTAATATAAGTATATATTAAGTATATGTAATATGTGAATATAAGTAAATAAATATACTTATATAAGTAACAATAATATAATAATTAGATATTAATATAAGTAGATAATAAATTATATAAATATAATATATGTAGTAATAAATTTGAGAAATTGAGAAGATGAAGATGGGAAAGATTAGTAGAGAATAGAGATTAGAGATTTAGAGAGTAGAGATATTTGGAGAAGATGTGTAGTAAAGTGTATAGAAAAAATGGAGTATTTATAGATATTTAGTACCCCACCCCCACCCCCCCCCACCCCCACCCCCACCCCCCAACCCGGGACCCCCTGGAAGGCTCCCAACGGCTATAGAGCCGTTTGGGTTGAAAGCCAACGGCCATAAGGCCTGTTTGGCTGAAAAACAAAATTTTTTTTTTTTTTAAAAAGTAACCGTTAGGCCCGACCCGGGCCCGAATCGGCCGGGCCGGGCCACCAAACAAATGAACCGGACCCGAACCGCCAAACCCCCCCGGGCCGGGTCAAAGCCCGAACCGGTTCACCAGTCCCGGTTCCGGGCCGGGCCTGCACAGTGGCGGGCCGGGCCGGTTCCGGGCCGGTTCCGGGCCGGCCCGGGCCGGTTCCGGGCCGGCCCGGGCCGGTTCCGGGCCGGCCCGGCCCGGTTGAGTCCATCCCTAGAGGGAGTACATTGTTAGTATACCGGGCAGACCTCGTCTAGGTGTGATACCAATCATACACCATGCTACTATGCTAGGATACGTTTGGGCCTAGATCCCGGGAAATGCTAGAGAAAGTTTAATTGGTGCAAAATAGTTGGGAAACTGAGGATGGGAGAAGATTTGGGGGGAATAAATAAAAAAGTGGGCTAACATAAGAAACCTATTTTTGTTTTTTGGTAAAAATAATAAAGAAATCTATTTTAGATCTTTGTTAGAAGTTAGAACCAGTTTTATTTTCATATACTCGTACTACTTTTGAAAAAACTTGACCATTTTCTGTGAATCTTATAATTTGCAGCTTTTGATGGTTGGCTTAATATATACGGAGTATTAATGAGTGGCTATTTCTTGATCCTCATGTTAATTAAAAATTCTCTTCCGGGAACTCGGGAAGGTTTATGACTTGTCGAGAATAACTTCTCTGAGGATGTCTTTCGTTTGGAGAAGTTGTCTAGTTGGCTATGCTTTCGGTCGTTTTGGAAAAGGCTCACCGACAAAAGAGAATCTTAGCTTGTTTTTTTTTTTTTAAATAGATCAACAGATCAGATGACTCGCTTGCTGTTTGCCCATTTTGTGGCGCATCCATTCCTCGATTGTGATTTGTTTTGCTGGGTGGACTGCCGTCAAGTAAGAGAGTGCTCAAACCGTCCCAATTAGGCGTGGACCCGGTTCGGGCCTCCCGGCCCGGGACCGGCCCGGCCCGGCCCGGTTCTTGGGTCCGGGTCCGGTTCGGGTACAGACCCGGTCGGGTTAGCGGGACCGGGCTCGGGTCCTGGTTTTGGAGGCCCGGCCCGGCCCGGCCGGGTCGGGCCCGGGCCCGGGCCTAACGGTCCAAAATTTAAAAAATTTTTTTTTTTTTTTTTGCTTCTTTTGGCTCAACGGCCACCCCAAACGGCTATATAGCCGTTGGGTGGTACGGGGGGGGGGGGGTCAGGGGGCTTTGGGTGGGGGGTGGGGGGGGGGAGTGGGGTTAAAAAAAACCTATAAATACTCCTAATTTTAAACATTTTTTCACACCTCTTCTCCAACTCTACCTAAATCCTACTCTCTACTCATCTCCAATTCTCCATATTCATCTTCTCAAATTCTCTTATTCTCCTTTATATTTTATTTTACTATTTAATACTTATACAATTATTATATCTACTTATATATTAATTATCTACTTATATATTATTATCTACATATACTATATTGCTTATATTTCTTATCTACTTAATCTCTACTTATATCTCTTAATACACACATACATACTATATCTACTTAATATATACTTTATATAATAAAGTATTAAATATACTTTATAAACTATTACTATATACTTAATACATAATAATATCTACTTCTCTACTTATATTTTATATATACTTATTTTCCAATCTCCAATTCTCCATTATACTCTAATATTTAATTCTTATACAATTATTATATCCACTTAATACATACATTCTACATCTACTTAATATATATTTTATATATTAAAGTATAAAATATAAGTGTATTACTCATCTTATAGTAGTATACTTATATATTATATAATATATACATTATATTATATATTACTTACTATAACTAGTATTATAGTATTATACTAGTTAATTAGTTAATTAGCATTCTTGTTACATTTTTCATTATACTAGTTAATTAGTTCATTATCATTATTGTAACATTTTTCATTATACTAGTTAATTAGTTAATTAGCATTCTTGTTACATTTTTCATTATACTAGTTAATTAGTTCAATACCATTCTTGTTACATTTTTCATTATACTAATTAAAATACTTCACATTTTATTTAACTAGTTGTTAGTTTGTTACATTTGTCACTATACTAGTTAACTACTTAATTAGCATTGTTGTTACATTTTTACTTGTACTAGTTATTTACTTCAAAAGTTGCTATAATTTTAATTGTAGAGACACACATTAATTCTACTTTGCAAAAAATTAGTTTGAAGTATTAATTTAATTAGTTGCATTAGTTTTGTATCCATTATTATATTTGTTGTGAATTAATATTTGTTACATTTTTTAGATGGAAGGTGGTAGATATTCGGTTGATTTGGGTAACCTCCAACGCAATCGAAGAAACGAGATTGGGAGGAAGAAATCCCGCAAAGGTAAAGAACTTGCCGGGTCTTCATCTCAAAGCCGAGATGATTTTGAAACGGGTTACCAAAGGCGAGATGGAGATGCGATGTCCGAAGAACAACTCCAACAAGAATTGGCCCGACATAATAACCGCTTTCTACAACAACAACAAATGCCGACGACCATTGACGAAGAGGAGCTTGAGGATGAAGATGCGGAGGAATTGGAACCGGAGACGGCCGAGGAGGAGGGTGCCGGCAGCCATGACGCCGACGCGCCTGCCTCATCCCAAACCGCCACCGGTAATAAAAAAAGTAAGTCTGAACTAATGAAAAATAATTTTGATAAATGGAAGGACCCACAAACCGGCTATTGGCACGCAACTTGCAAGTGGTGCAACAACAATTATAGTTTGGGAACCTCCGGCGGATACGGATCTGCCGCAAGGCATCTTAAGGCAAAGCACCCCGTGGAGTATGCAAAATTAGGCGGCGGAACGGGGAAGCAAACTCAAATATCGAGGTTTGCGAATTCTCAACATTTTGGTAATTTCTCCTACAATGATGCACAAAATTTGACTGGTATGGCTAACTTAATTTGTGAAGAAAATTTGCCTTATTTGTTTTCTGAAAGTCTTGCTTTAAGAGATTATGCACAAGGTAGTTTAAATCCTCAATTTAGAAATTATAGTCGCAAAACTGTTAAGAAAGAAATAATAAGGCTTTATAATGCGGAAAAGGTAAGGTTACAAATTTTTTTTGCAAACTTTGATGGGCGTGTTACTATTTGTTCTGACATATGGGAGGATGATTTTCATCATTTATATTATTTGGGTCTGACTGCACATTATATTGATGAGGATTGGAATATGCATAAACGTGTTCTTGCTTTTCGTGAATTTAATGATCGTCACACCGCTGAACATATTTATATTTTGATTGAGCGTATTTTAATTGAGTATAATTTGATTGATAAGGTGTTTGCTATTGGTTTCGATAATGCTACTAATAATACTGCTGCTATACCTAGATTGCGTGAGTTGTGTGGTGCCAATTCTTTGATGGGTAGATTTTTTCATCAACGCTGTGCATGTCATGTTATAAATTTATGTGTGCAAGACGGTTTAAAAGCGTTAGGAGATTCCATGGAGGTAATAAAGGGGGGGATTAGACGTATTTGGGGTAATGGTCAACTTAGATTAAAATGGCAAAGTTATTTGACTGAAAGAGGTGTGAGATATGTTGCTTTTCCTAAAGATTTGAGTATTCGTTGGAATAGTACTTATAAATTACTTAAAGTTGTTCTTAGATATAAAGAACATTTTCCTGCTTTTTTAAAAGAACATGATAACTATATTATAAACGCGGCTGAGATCGACACTTGCTAAAAAATTTGTAATGTTTTGATATATTTTTTTAATGCTACTGAAACTTTTAGTCATGTTTATAAACCTACCGCAAACCAATTTATTCCACAAGCTGTTAATCTCGCCGATGCTTTTAAAGAATTTCAAAATGCCGTTTTCATTCATTATTTTTGTGATCATATGAAGGAAAAGTTTTTAAAATATTATGCGCATATTCCTCATATTTATGGTATTGCATTTATTCTCGATCCTCGTTATAGACTTGCTAATTTGGAAGATTGTTTCAATTTCTATTATCTTGCGTTTTTCGGTGAATTTCCAATGTATGACGATAACCCCATAGATCCGAAAACGGAATACAACGAGGTTAGTACTTTATTTTATGCCTTATTTAATGAATTTCGTGCACAATATAGCAACGCTCCCCCTCCCCGTCACAAACATCTTCATCTAAAGGAAAATCGATTTTTAAATCTGCATTTGGCAATCTTATGAAAAAAACTAAAACAACTCACGTCACTGAACAAAGCGCATTAAATGAGATTACTTTGTATTTAACATATGAAGTTGATTTTGAAGAAAATGAAGACTTTGACGTTCTAGACTGGTGGAAGTCAAAAGAAAGAACGTTCCCGATTTTAGCACGGATGGCTAAGCAAGTACTATCAATGCCGGTTTCAACAGTTGCTGTGGAACAAGAATTTAGTTCGACCGGCAACGTCCTAACGGCATCTAGATCGAGATTGAGCGCGGAGTCTCTTGAGACGCTTATATGCTACCACGATTGGTTGAAGGCCGCACGTAGAACTCAAGAATTGAGCATCACCCCCTCCCAAGATTTTATGGATGACTCAACAACCGATGGTGGCTCTACCTATGCCGGAGATTCCGATTGATTAGTATTTTAGAATTTATTACAAAATGTATTTTATAGCACTTGTCAAATTTATTTATACTTGTACTTCATATTTCAAAATTGTAAACTTGTACTTCATATTTCAAAATTGTAAATTTGTAGTTGTAGTTCAAATTAATTTGTAAACTTGTACTTCACATTTCAAATAAATATGTGTTCACTTTTTCATATGTAGCACTTCTCAAATTAATTAATTGGTTACAATCTAACGACTTAAAATTATTTTTCTAAAATATAAAGCCGGTTTTTAAATTAAAAATACATTTAGAATATGTAATTTGTTTAAATACTTATACACCTATTTTGTAACATTTGTAAATTATAAATCAAACCACTTTTCTAAGTACAAATAGTTTTAGTTTTACTTAATTCATTAAATTAATTAATTTATTTTACAATATGTGTATAACTTAAAAAAAAAAATTAATTCAAACCTCCCAAACGGCTATATAGCCGTTGGGGCTATGGGTGGGGGGCAGGGGGGTCCCGGGGGTGGTGGTGTGGGGTATGGGGTTCAAAAACATCTATAAATACATCTATTTTCTAACATTTTTCTACACCTCTTCTCCAATTCTTCTCCATCTTCATCTTCTCTTATTATCCTACATTCCTACTTATACATATACCATTTTAAATATGGAAAGTACATCTTCCCTTATGCAAAACAATTTTGACAAGTGGAAGGACCCGAAGACCGGTCTGTGGTGGGCAACTTGCAGGTGGTGCAAGAAAGAGTGTTGCTTGGGGGGGTTCATACGGATACGGGATGCCAATAAAACATATGAAGTCTTGTGACAAAGGGAAAACAACAACCAACGGTGGCGGAAATCCCAATTGATATTCATTACAAAATGTATTTCGTATTGTTATTTTTTTCTCAATTCTCAAATGTAGTTCTTATTTCAAATAAATGCACTTGAACTTTGTTTTTAATAGCAATTTGTATAATATATAATATATATATATATATATATATATATATATATATATATATATATATATATATATATATATAGATGAAACTTCATGTCAGGCCGGCCTGACGGGCTGCCCCGTCCGGCCGAGCCCGTTTGGGCACCTTCCCGGTGGAATTTTTTGATGAAATTTTTTGAGCATGTTCCTCATCAAGTCTAGTTTGTCCATACCAAATTTCAGCTCAAAATTCGATCGGGAAGGTCGTCAAATGATTTTTGCAAGTTAACTGGTCCGGAAAATACATATTCCAGACCGGACGGAGCATCCCGTCAGGCCGGACTCTATATATATATATATATATATATATATATATATATATATATATATATATATATATATATATATATATATATATATATATATATAATGGCCCGGCCCGGCGGGTGGCCCGACCCGTGACCCGGGCGGGTGGCCCGGCCCGAACCGGAACCGGTCATTGACCGGGCCGGTCCCGGGCCTACCATTATAGGACCCGAGGCCCGACCGGGCCTTGACCCGGCCCGGGCCCGACCCGGCCCGGGTCCAACACTAGTCCCAATCAGAAAACTAGAGAGGGTCAAAACGAAACTAGAATCCAGAAATCCGGTCTGATTTTGGATATGAAACATTGCAATTATGATTTGCAGTCCGGTTTCAGTTTGAACCGGAAATAATCAGTTTCAGTTTGACTCGGGCAAGGCGGCCCGCCCCGGAACCGGCCCGAACCGGTTACTGTTTGAACCGGCCCGGTCAGGGACCAGTCTGGGTAGGCCTGACCCGTTGGGGTTCCGGTCCAGGCTCGGGCCCCTCAAAAGGTGAACCGGCCCGGTCGGTTCGGGCCTGGTCCTGGCCACTTTATTTTTTATTTTTTAATTTTTTTTAAGTTTTTGGGTTGGGCTGGGTATTTTGGGCCATTTAAGGTGGTTTGGGGGTGAGGGGGGAGGGTTGGGGGTTAATTAAGAAAAGCCAATATATATATATATATATATATATATATATATATATATATATATATATATATATATATATATATATACACTAAAGTTCAGGTCCGGCCAGGCCGGACCACTCCCTCTGTCCGGCCTCCTCCATTTGGGGGCCTTCCCGATGGTATTTTTTGCTCAAATTTTTTGTGTAGGTTCCTCATCAAGTCTAGTTCATCCATACCAAATTTCAGAAAAAAATTCAATCGGGAAGGTTGTCAAATGATTTTTGCAAGTTAACTGGTCCGGAATATGTATTTTCCGGACCAGTTAACTTGCAAAAATCATTTGACGACCTTCCCGATTGAATTTTTGGCTGAAATTTGGTATGGATGAACTAGACTTGATGAGGAACCTACACAAAAAATTTGAGCAAAAAATACCACCGGGAAGGCCCCCAAATGGAGGAGGCCGGACGGGGCTCCGGTCAGGTATACCTGACCGGAAGACTACTCTATATATATATATATATATATATATATATATATATATATATATATATATAAATTGAACTGAGGCCCGGCCCGACCCGGACCCGGGGGTTACCCGGGTCGGTTCCGGGCCTCCCCTTTCATGAAATGAGGCCCGGCCGGGCCCAGGCCCGAGTCCAGCCATACTTTAAATTAATTCTAATGTTATATCCATTCATCTTTTACAACGTTAAAACTTGAAATTTGGGAAAAGTTGGATTAATCTTTGCTCTTTAAAGCTAATGAAAATAAATAAGAGCAACAATAAAAATAATATTACGAATAAATGCTCCAGCATTCCTGAAGTATGAGTTTTATAATTCTAGTAAAGGAAAAGGTTAATAATATACTACGTATGAACCGATTTTTCAACTGGTTCCAGGCTTCCTCCAGCTTTGAACCAGATAAACCGATTCAGTTCCGAATGGACCCGTGCACATTCCCACCGTCAATTGAAGCACAAGGCACAAATAATGACCGGGTAAAGGACCGATCTTCCTAAAGGCACGCTTTTCACAAGCAACTAGCACTCTGTAAAACAGACTGGCCGATGAGCTGTATGCTTGAGTAGGGGTGGAATGGGATGGGACTGGACCGGGCTTCGGGACGGCACTGGGCGGCCTTCGGTTTTAAAGATTTTGGGCCCAATACCGGCCCTGGTTTCTACAGGTACCATGACGGGTCAGGCTACCCGGTCAGGCTTCGGTCCAGGACCGGGTCAACCAGTCAGGTCAGGCCTTTTTTGTTTTGAAGGATTTAAAGCAAAAATATATTTTTTGAAGTTGTTGACCATTTGGCCGGTCCACAAAAAGCTGAGCTTCATGCCCGCCTGCTTCCACCGGGCCGGGTCCCAGGCCTGGTACCGGTCCGAGACAACCGGGCCAGGCCAGATCTAAAGAATGTCGGGCCGGGCAGGGCAGCAAGGCGGGCAGGCCCATCCCAGTCCAATGTCCATCCCTCTGCTTGACCACCGCCTCTTAGTTCACTACTGAAATGTTGACATGGTAATGGACTAATGGGCTAGGCATTGAGTCATAGGACTCCTGAGTCCCAAGCAAGTTGGGCAGAGCCCATTCGTTGGTCCAATAAGTTTGAGTTGTCCATCAAGTTACACTGGTATCTTAAGTGATTATTATTTCATAGCTGGTTATGAACCGGAACTGGTCCAGTCCACCCTAGTTACAACTGCTCCAGTCAAATCCAGGATTCTAGGCTCTTGAAAACAAATTCAAGAAGCTGCCCAGATTTCTATTTTACCTCAAGGAGCAAGACTGTACCATTAGCAAGTAATTGGGATAAAGTAATTCCTCTGGGTTTTTCACAGATCACAATACAAAGGAATGTTTAATCGCACTTAGGACACAGACTTCTCCATTCCCATTAAATTAAACAACTAAAAGAGTCGATGATGATCAAATACTTAAAATAAGATGCAAGGGCCAGATCTACTTGAAGTAGAGCTTAGCCCATGGCATACTTCTGAGTCCAGCTCCTTGCTGTAGTCTCATATTTGTTCCTGTCGATCTTGTACATCTGTGCAATTTCTGGTACCAAGGGATCATCAGGGTTCGGGTCCGTCAAGAGAGAGCAGATCGAAAGCAGGACCTACAATTTCAAAATAAATTTTCACTGAATGAAATCTATACGACAACATATATTAATAAGACTTTAGATTCCATCTAAAATATCAGCTCTTTAGGACTTTAAGACCAAAGCTAGTATTCTTGGATGTGAAATGGCTTAATATAACAACAATATGGTTATATTATTTAGCATTGCAAGATTGTCTTACTAGAGCAAACCAATATTGTAAGTTGTGACCACTATTTAGGCTTTTATATATAGAAAAGGAAGCTGTTTGGGCCTTCTCATCCAATATTGTGCATCAATATTCAATTGAGCATACATCTGTGTGATGTTTGTACAAATAGAAATTCACTCGCACACAAGTCTGTGTGGTATTAGAAATAAACCTTGGAAATTGTGAGCGCAGGGCTCCACTGCTCCTTCAAGATGTCAAGGCATATACTCCCGTTGCTGTTAATGTTTGGGTGGAAAACTTTTGTCTTGAAAGCCACCTGCAAGTTTAATAATTTGAATCTAAAGATTAATTTGTTTAGAGTTCTTGATCTCTATACATAATATAAACAGATAAAGTAAAATGAATATGAACATATATGGAAAATAAATGAGCAAGTTCCATTAAAAGGACTAAAATTCTAAAACATAAGTCATTTGTTCCAATAGGCCCACCATTGATTTTTCTTAAAACATGACTCGTATTGGCATTTACTCTTAAATGAAGATGTTTATTAGAACAAGAATACACATTAGTCCTGTTATTAGGATAAAACAAGAATAGTTTTATTCATGTATTTTGCTCATTTTTAATCAATATGCAGCAATTCCTTAAAATAAATGTATTAAGTTTGAACCAAATTTTTATTCACCTATATTTTTCTTGCTAGTTTATTTCACTATCTTAATCACAAAACTATCTATCACATGTTGACATGTTCACAAGTAACAGTAACATTTATCTTTATATCATGAGCAGCCATGATTATGGGTTTTTCATCTCTATTTAAGTATTGTTTGTTCTTAAAAA